TCTCTCTCTCTCTCTCTCTCTCTCTCTCTCTCTCTCTCTCTCTCATGTTCATAGTTTATTTGATGTTTAGCAGTTTGAATCATCCATTCGTTCATCTTCTAACTGCTCTGCCCGTTGCCGCGCTGAACTTCAGAAAAACTCTCTGCATTTCTTCCCTGTCGTTCCTTCCCCCAGTCTCTCTCCATTTTTGTGTATGCTTGCTCCCAGTTTGTTCGTGGGCAATTTCTGTGTATGCCCTCATCTCACACGATGACTCTCCTGCTCTGTACATTCTTGCACGTTCTGGAACACCAAACAGAAGATCATTCCCCCTCACCCTCTTCCCCTCCTCCCTGCTCCTGGGTCCACTTGTGTGATGTAAGGGACACCCAATCTCCTGCTTTGTACATGCTTGCACGTTCAGGAACAGCAAACAGATGATCATTCCCCCTCGCCGTCTTCCCATCCTCCCTGCTCCTGGGTCCACTTGTTTGATGTAAGGGACACCACTCTCCTGCTTTGTACATGCTTGCACGTTCTGGAACAGCAAACAGAAGATCATTCCCCCTCGCCCTCTTCCCCTCCTCCCTGCTCTAAGGGACACCTTGTTTCGAGCACTATTAGTACAAAATCCGATTGTAGTTAGAAAAAAGGAAAAGAAGTTGCCTGGTATGGATCAATTGTGGAATGTATGCTGTAATCTACAAGTGGTTAACTTGGGCTGTAAAGCTACATGGTCAATCGAGTTTGCTATGCTGCCTCAAGTGGTTGGCTTTTGTTTTCAAAATTTTCCTTGTGGCTGCAGGTTTTACTGAAGCTTGTTGTGATTACAGTGCTTGTCATTGCTGAATCTGCAGATAAGTGCATCAAGACAGTAAGTGTCCATCATTTTATATCACGGGTTATAATAAATGCTGTGTGCCTTTGTTCGCTTCAACTGCGTACGTAGGTTACTCTGCATGGAGCATGTTAGGCAGCTCGAAGTGTCTGTCAGACCTTAGTTAGTGGCTTGGCAAGCCACTGTACGTGTCTGTGATGTTAACGTGTTTCCAACTTTTCAGTTTTTGCTTATTTTTCAAAAAGAATATAGAATAAGCTGCACAGCAGGATCACCATTTGTGAACATTGCAGGGCACATCTTTTGGTCCGAGGTCCAAACAGTTGTGCCATGCCCGAACGCCTTTTTAGGCACCTAGAATAATGGACGTAATACTCAAATAAGAAATCCCAAAAGACGGTCATCATGGCAAGACGGGTGCAGCGAGGATAAACGGCACAAGGATCTGTCCAGTACCTAGCTGTGGTCTTGGCCAAGGGGAGGAGAAGACTCGGTGAGCAAGGGGTGCTTCACCCCAGGCCAGGGAACGGCAGCATCAGATACAAAGAGTATCCAGCCAAGTGAGCAATCAAGTGGCAATCGAGTGGCAGTGTCCTTTTCAAAGATTGCCTTCTGCACAACATCTCAAGAGCAGACCGCATGACGAAGAAGAATGCTATTTTGGGGGAATCTCCCGACACACAACAACGCTACAACGAAGTGATAACAAAGCGACAGCGATTCGGCAACGAAGCAACACGAAGTGAGAGCTAAACGAAACTGAGAATCTCGTCTCTCCCCCACCTCACCTTTCCCCTCTCTCTCTCACCCCGTCTTTTCCACTGTATAGAACGGACGTTCCTCCAACTTCTTACTGACTTCACACCGAAGAATTCTCCCCCTACCCCTAGCGCTGGCAAATCAGACCCCACCCATATTCACACTCTTTTTCACCCCACCTTCCGGCTAAGCCCCCCCCGGCCCCTTCTCGGCCTCCAGGCGTCCAGACTCACCTCTCCCCCCCCGCCCCCAGCCCCTGCTCCAAATCTACCATCTTTTATGATTGTGCCTAAATCCGTTTACCCCGATCCCTTCATTAGATCTCTACCCCCCACACTCTCCCGATCCCGGATCAAGCAGCCTCCCTCAGCCCAAACATCTGTTTGTCGATCCTCTGCGCCCAGATACAACACTCCTCCCCCCTACTCCCAACCCTTACTCCCAATCTATCATCATATCTAGCCCCGCCCAACTCTCCCTGCCATTTCATCGGATCTTCGCCCCCCNTGGGGCCTTAGCCCAGAACATGTACGTCATGGCAAGGCCCCTACTTGAGGGCTCAATCCTCACATTCCATCCCCCTTAGCTTCGAAAGTCCGCTGAGATGCTTACTTCGCAGGTGCCTTCCCTTTTAGCTTTCGTTCATAATCTGCCACCACCTGAGGAGCTGTTTCCATCAGTTCCTCCCGAGTAAACCACCGATCTTCTTTAGGATCCGTATGATGCCTGAATCTGATCCGGTACTCTCTCTTGGGTTTCGGAGGTCTTCCTCGACCCAACGGCTTCTGAACAGGCATATCCCTGTGGTCCACAATGTCGTCGATGTCGACTTGTCCATCCATGGTTGGGGGAAGCATCGATCTCCTGGAAGGGAATTGATCAGTCTCAGCGAAAGGTGCAAGCTTTGAGGCATGAAAGACTGGGTGAGTGCGTAGGTGTCCAGGGACAGAAATGACATAGGTGGGACCATCCAACTCATCTCCCACTACACATCCAAGACTTCTCACGGACCAAAGTACTGAGGCATCAGTTTGCGAGATATTCCGAATTCCTGTCCTAACTCACTAGCCTTGACCCAGACACGTTCCCCTACCTGAAATGTGGATTGTCTGCGATGTTGATTCTCAGAAGCAATCATGGCTTGCTGAGCTTTCTTCATATGTTCAACAGCGTCTTGCAGCAACTTCTCATATTGCACACCGTATTCAAGTGTGCCTGGAGTTGCAGCGGGTCGGTTTTCAGGTAGGAGGAAGTCTAATGCTGATCTAGGCTTCCATCCTAAGTGCAGCTGGTTAGGACTAACGACGGTACTACTATGTATAGCGTTGTTGTAGAGGCTGGCGATGAGAGGTAACTGCTCATCCCAGTCGTCCTGGCTGGGCTTGATGTAATGCCTCAACAAGTGTTGTACAACTCTATTCATTTGTTCGGCCTGTCCGTTGGCTTCGGGATGATTCCCTRAAGTCATYTGAAGTTGACTGCCCATCTGTTCCGCAGTCTTCTTCCACAGCTCACTTGTGAATCGGACGTCTCGGTCACTAATGATGGTCTTTGGTAAACCAAAGTCCCTTACCCAGTTGTCCTTGAACAACTTGATGACGTATTCTGTCTTGGCTGTCTTTGGCATTGGAATTAGTCTAGCGTATTTGGTGAATCTGTCAATGATGACGAAAATGTGCCCCTTACCACTCTTGCTGGTCACAAGAGTGTCCATGAAATCCATGGAAACACTCAATCCTTGACCATCAGGAATAGGTAAAGGCTTCAATAACCCAAGCGGTGCTTGAGTTCGCGGCTTGTCCCGCTGACAAACCTGATAGGTCTCAACATATTTCTTTGCGTCATCTAACATTCTGGGCCACCAAAATCGTTGTACTAAGTTAGCACTCATTTTCTTGTGGCCAAAGTGCCCAGTTGCGTCATGACATTCACCTAAAAATAAACTACGCAACTGTTCACTAGATGGAACTACCAATCTCTTTACTCCGGCCTTATCAAGATAGATTAGCCCATCCACCATCACAAACTCACTTTCTGTGGCCTTGTCTTTTGCCTGATGTTTGCGGATGATGTCCATCGTGACAGGGTCTTCCTGATAGGCTCCCACCAATGATTGAGTCACTTCGTTAGATACGCC